CTGGAGGCAAACTTCCTTGTTTTCCTCTGCCTTAGGGCTCTGGGAGCCAGAGCGGAGCTTCCAGAGGCATCTTGCCTTTGCTGGTGTTTTTCCTGTGGCAGGTGGGTGGGACTCAGCCAGCCTCTCTTGGCATCAGTGAGGCATCAACACATCTCTCTCCAGCTCCAGTGCTGAGCTACTGGCTGATCGCCAAGGACATCCTTCTGGCCTGCCCTTCACACCTGGGTCCCTAGCCCCCCCTCCCCTGTGAGCTCCGAGCCTCTTCCCCTGCCCTACGTTTGCCTGGGGCCCCTCCTGCACCTGCCCTTCCCCAAACTCCCGACCCCTCCCTGCTCTCTGCTCTGGATACGCATGGCTGGCAGGAAGGACAGCTTCTTAGCCACTTCTGTAGGACCACAGGTGGGCCGTTCAAGGGCTTGCCTGCTCCCCCCTCTCCTACCCTCCCCTACAGCTGCTTCTCCAAGTGCCGGCTGGCTGTGTCACAGGAAAGCAAGGGCAGGAAGTGGGGCGGGGAGTGGGTTCTGGCCATCTGGCCAAGGCACCTGTCTACTCAGAAATCTTGCTAAAGGCTACCTGGCTGGGACCACAGGTAAGAGGTACTGGGGAAGGAGGCACCCATACTGGAGTGCCCACTGGTCTTGGGCAAGCCCCTGGCCCTCTCTGGGCTTCAGTTCACTCCTTGGAGCCAAGGCGATAAAAGTCCCTGCCCTGTTGACTGAGAGGAGGCTGTGATGAGGTCACTGAGGGGAAAGCAATTATCGACAGTCGGGGGGGGGGGGGGGGGGTGGGGGTGGGGGGGAGGGGTGGGGGGGAGGCCTTGTAAAGAAAGCCCCAGGGAGGCGTGGTCCAGGCAGAAACCATCCCTGTTTGCTTTGGTGAGTGTGCCTACGATGGAGGTGAAGGTGTGGGAGTGTGATTGGAAACTGGAGAATCCCTCATTCTTTCCATCAAGCATTTATTTTTTCTTTTCTTTTGAGACAGGGTCTCGCTCCATTGCCCAAGGATGGAGTGCAATGGTGCGATTATCGCTCACTGCAGCCTCAAACTTCTGGCCTCAAGCGATCCTCTCACCCCAGCCTCCCCAAATGCTGGGATTACAGGCATGAATGCCCCGAACATTTCTGGGGTGTCTGTGATGTATGAAGCCTGGTGCTGGGCACGTGTTTCCAGCAGCACCAGCCTAGCAGGGGAGAGAGATGTGTGTAGACACAACGCCAGGCCTCAGCTTCCCCTCTGTAACCAGGCTAGGCTGTCCCAGGCTGCCCGCTGCTTCGTTACCAGTCAACAGCCCTACCTCAGATACCTCCCATGTGTTTTCAGTAATCGCTTCAACCCAAACCGTGGCACCCTTGGTGACTTTCCCTCAAGGACTAGGCAGCCTTCTGGGTCAGAACTGGGCACAAGACCACCAGTGCTGGACAATGATGGCGGCTCAGGGACACACTGGAGCCGTGGCCCCTGCAGCACTCCCAGCACAGCAGGGAACAGATATAAAGTGACTACACGGTGGGGGGGGTGAGGAGAGGCTCCCTCAGGGTGGCTGGGATGAGCCCCAGACACTCTCGATCACTCCCACGGTGACCCCTTCCCAGAGGTCCCCTCAGTCGTCTGCCTTGAAGGAAGTTCCTCCTGATCTAGACCCTCCACCCTCCCTCTATCTCCCAGGGCTCGTGCCATTCCAGGCAGAAATTTCTGACCCTTTTACTCTGACCCCTCCCTCCCCAGCCCAATCTCTGGTTAAACTGGATTCCTCGCTGTTCCCAGAATGAGCTGCCTTTCCCCACCTTGCCACCTCTGGCCTTGTTTCCTCTGCCTGAATGTCCTCCTCCACCAGTCTCTCTGCCTGGCACATCTCTCCTGGGGGCTCTGTTCCCAGAATGAGCTGCCTGGCCCACCCTCGGTCTTTGTCCCCTCCACCAGAATGTCCTCCCTTAGCCAGTCCAGTTGCCTTGCAGAACTTTTCTTTTCCTTCCTTTTTTTTTTTTTTTTTTTTTGAGATGGAGCCTCACTCGGTTGCCCAGGCTGGAGTGCCATGGCGAGATCTTAGCTCACTGCAACCTCCGCCTCCTGGGTTTAAGCAATTCTCCTACCTCAGCCTCCTGAGTAGCTAGGATTACAGGTGCCCACCACCATGCCCAGCTAATTTTTTTTTTTTTGTATGTTTAGTAGAGATGGAGTTTCACCATATTGGTCAGGCTAGTCTTGAACTCCTGACCTCATGATCCACCCACCTCGGCCTCTCAAAGTGCTGGGATTACACCGTGCCCAGCTGCCTTGCAGAATTTTTCTGGAGGACCTGTTCCTGATGCTTCTGTAGCATAATCCAAGAATCCAGCACCCCCTGGAGTTGTGCCACGCTGCGCCCCTTTGCAGTCGAGATCCCCCAGCACCACTGCCTCCGCCCCGGGAGGGTTCCCCTTTCCTTTGCAATCTCCTGGGACTTTGCACCCACTCTGGCTTTATCAGAAGGTTTTGTGTCTCCACAGGGTAAACACCCATTTACGGGGCTGATGATGGCTCCAGGATCTAGTTCACGGCTTGCTGGTGACCCGCCCTACCCAGTTCTGGGCAAGCAGGCTGGACCCCGGCAGGAACAGAGCCCACCAGCCTAAACTTCTACGGAGGTGGAGGGGGCACAGGCGCTGGTGTCTTTTTGGCTGAAGGTGTATCGTGTCGCAGAAAAGCCGGGCGATAAAGATGGGTGAGAGCGAGTGATGAACCCAGGGGTCCCGGCCTCCCAGCTCCTCGCTCCCCTACATGTAACTTTATCGGACCGATGCCTCGCACATTGCTGGTGAGGTCAGATGCACTAATGATCAGAATCACAACAGGAATGAAACTGCCAGTGATGAAACGGATAAGATGACAATAATCAAGGATAAGAAAGGACAATAATCAAGGTGGGCTCAAATTTTCTCCCTGAGGGTCCCAACCTGTCCTTCCACCTAAGCCTGGAATGAGGAAGCACTGGCCTGTGGGGACCCTGGTCTTCAGGCTCCCAAACCTGGCTGGGTCTGGTGCCCCCTGACCTTGCCCTGTGAACACCCAGGTGTCCCTGGGTTATGACTCAGTGTCTGTCTGCCGGCTGATCTCAGCACGGGCTTTGAGGAAGGGGAGAGGGTAGTTTCTTCTGAGACAGGAGTGACTCAGGGGCCCAGGGTTGGGGCCTCAAAAGTGCCTTTGTTGGCCTGGGTTCAGGAATCCAGAGAAACTGGTCAAGGGGAGGCCCCAGTGAGGGAAACCCCTCCCTCTGCCCCCGCCCCTCCACCAGAGCCATATAACCGTTCAACCTGTCCCGGAGAGCGAGCGCCCTGGCAGCTGCCGGCAGGAAGGAACCGGTCTGCTCACACTCGCTGGGTTGTCCATCAGGACTCACGGAGCAAAGGAGCTCTCTGCAAGGTCAAGTCCGTCCCCAGGCTTGGAATCCTACAGCCCCCCACAGCCGGATCCCCGCAGCCTTCCAGGTCCTCGACCTCCGCGGACGCTGAGTGATGGCCTCCATGGGGCTCCAGGTGGCGGGCATCGCGCTGGCCGTGCTGGGCTGGCTGGCCGCCATGCTGTGCTGCGCGCTGCCCATGTGGCGCGTGACGGCCTTCATCGGCAGCAACATCGTCACGTCGCAGACCATCTGGGAGGGCCTGTGGATGAACTGCGTGGTGCAGAGCACCGGCCAGATGCAGTGCAAGGTGTACGACTCGCTGCTGGCGCTGCCGCAGGACCTGCAGGCGGCCCGCGCCCTCATCATCATCAGCATCATCGTGGCCGCGCTGGGCGTGCTGCTGTCCGTGGTGGGCGGCAAGTGCACCAACTGCCTGGAGGACGAGAGCGCCAAGGCCAAGACCATGATCGTGGCGGGCGTGGTGTTCCTGCTGGCCGGACTGCTGGTGATAGTGCCCGCATCCTGGACGGCCCACAACATCATCCAAGACTTCTACAACCCGCTAGTGGCCTCCGGGCAGAAGCGGGAGCTGGGCGCCTCCCTCTACATCGGCTGGGCCGCCTCGGGCCTCCTGCTGCTTGGCGGGGGGCTCCTCTGCTGTAACTGCCCACCCCGCACAGACAAGCCTTACTCCGCCAAGTATTCTGCCGCCCGCTCTGGCGCCACCAGCAACTACGTGTAAGGTGCCACGGCTCCGCTCTGTCCCTCTTGTCTTTGTTCTTCCCTGGACTGAGCTCAGCGCAGGCTGTGACCCCAGGAGGGCCCTGCCGTGGGCCACTGGCTGCCGGGGGCTGGGGACTGGGCAAACAGAGACTGAGCTAGGTAGGAGAGCAGCAGCCTTCAGCCTCTCCGGCCCACTCGGACACTTTCCCAAGGCCGCCTCCTGCTAGCAAAGACAGATGCCACCCTACTCTGGATGTTTCGGAGGGACGGAGGTGACAGGGTGTGGTGGTGGAGTGGGGAGCTGGCTCCTGCTGGCCACTTTGGGCTCTGCCCGCATCGGTGTTGGCCACTGTCCCCATTTACAGCTTCCCCACCCTGTCTGCCTGCATCTCCTGAGTCCACCTCTCTCCCTGGTGTCTCCTCTGTTCCCCGGGCAGGCCTTGATGTCACCTCTGGGACTGTGCCTTGCTCACCCAAACCGGCGCCAGGGAGTACAGCTGAGGCCTCACCCACCCACCTGCCTGGGCAGTGCAGAGTGGATGGACGGGTTTGGAGGGGAGGGGTGACTGCAATGTAAACAGGTTTGGGCAGTGGTGGGGGAGGGGGCCCAGGAGGCCACTCTGGCTGCCCAGCTCTGTGGCCTCAGGACTCTCTGCTACACCCACTTCAGCCCAGGGCCCCTGGGCCTCTAGAGACTGATCCCCTCTAAGTCCTTTGTCCCTGCCAAGGACACTAACCAGCCTGGGAGGATGGCAGGGAGGAGGGGATGGCTTCATCCTCAGAAGCCCCGGGGTTTTTGCTCCACCTTCTTTGTCGTTTCTGTTTTGTAATTTAAGAAGATCTATTCACCACTGTAATTATTATTATTTTCTACAATAAACGGGACCTGTGCACAGGAATAAGTTGTATTGTCTCCGATTTCTGCTGTGGAGGTGGGCGGGGCAGGGCTGGAGGCCTGCGCCGGGGGTCGGTGAGGAGCGGGATCACTGGGCTGTGAACACTTAAAAAGAAAAAACAGGACCCAGGGAACGGTGAGAAATTGAAGCTGGGCCGGGTGCGGCGGTGTGCACCTGTAATCCCAGCACTTTAAAAGGTGGAGGTGGGAGGATCACTTGAGGCAGGAGTCTGAGACCAGCCTGGGCAACACAGTGGCCCCATCCCTCCAAAAAGTTAAAAAACTGAGCTGGGCGTGGTGCCTGTAATCCCTGTACTTGGGGAGGTCGAGGTAGGAGGTCTGCTTGAGCCCAGGAGTTTGAGGCTGCAGTGAGCTTGGATAAACCACTGCACTCCAGCCTGGGTGACAGATCGAGAACTTAAGTCTTAACGAAAAAAAATCAAAACGGGCCTCCAAGGTATCAACTTAAGAAAGAAATTGAAAAAAAAAAAAAGAAAGAAATTGAAATGGGCCTCCACAGTATCACCTAAAATTAAAACAAACAAACAAACAAAAAACAGTGAAATGGGCCCACAAGGTATCACCTAAAAAAACAATTGAGGCCAGGTGCGGTGGCTCACACCTGCAATCCCAGCACTTTGAGAGGCTGAGGCGGGTGGATCTCAAGGTCAGGAGGCTGAGACCAGCCAGACCAACATGGTGAAACCCTGTCTCTACTAAAAATACAAAAATTAGCTGGATGTGGTGGCAGGCGCCTATAGTCCCAGCTACTCAGGAGGCTGAGACAGGAGAATCGCTTGAACCCGGGAGGCGGGGGCTGCAGTGAGTCAAGATCGCAATACTGCACTCCAGCCTGGGGGACAGAGCAGGACAGGGTCTCAAAAAAACCCAAAAACCTTGAAATGGTCCCCCAAGGTATCACCTTGTATAGGTGGGGGGCCCTTCTTTTGTTGGAGGGTAAACTCATATACAGGAAACAGTGTATGCCTGGGACCCCAGTGAAGGTTTGGGGATCCCAGAAGGGAAGCCACATGGGCTCCCGGCTCCGAGGTGTGGGCCACCTTCCACCCACACCCCGATGTTGTTCCAGCTTTGTCTGGGAAGCCAGGCTGGTCTGTTCCTCTTTCCTGGGTCACCCTACAGGCCCCACTTCCCAGCCTTTGCACAGGCCATCCCTGCTCCCAGCCTGGAATGTCCCTTTTCCCTTCTCCATCCTTCTGGATCCTGCTTGTCCTGAAAGCCCAGCTCAGAGCCTCCTCCCCCGTGAAGTCTTCCCACTGTCTCTGAAGGAGAAATTATCGTCAGCCCTGTTCACACCCAGCAAGGTGCTGCTGGTCACTGAATGCCTTTCACCTGAAGGGCAGCCTCCAAGCCACACCCAGAGCTTGTCATTTGGATCCCTTGATGGATGAGGAAATGGAGTGTGGCCCAGCCCCAGATCTATAGCTTGGGACTTAGGGCTCTGAATTTGGGTCGGGGAGCTGTCCAGGACAGGGCTTGGGTCTCAGCAACCCCTTGGACTTGGCCACGGCCTTGGGTCCCTGCTCTGACACCGCTGTGCACCGCAAGTTCCAAGGTGGCTCAGGCTTCATGTTCTTGTCAGTAAGTTAGAGGTGAGTGGGCCCAGCACCCTGGAAGGAGCGACCAATTATACCTGGCTCAGGGAGGGCTCATGGAGGGGTCTTCTCTGTCACTTTTTTTTTTGAGGTTTTGCTCTGCTGTTCAGGCTGGAGTGCAGTGGCGTGACCTTGGCTTGCTGCAATCTCTGCCCCCCAGGTTCAAGCAATTCTCCTGCCTCAGCCTTCCGAGTGCCTGGGATTACAGGCATCCGCCACCATGCCTGGCTAATTTTTGTATTTTTAGTAGAGATGGGGTTTCATCATGTTGGCCAGGCTGGTCTCAAACTCCTGACCTTGTCATCTGCCCTCCTCGTCCTCCCAAAGTCCTGGGATTACAGGCGTGAGCCACCGAGCTGGGCCTCTTTCCTTTTTTTACAGTCAGGGTCTTGTCCCCAGGCTGGAGTGCAGTGGCATGATCCAAGCTCACCGTAACTGCAGCCATGACCTCCAGGCTCAAGCAATCCTCCCCACTCAGACTCCTGAGTAGCTGGGACTACAGGCAAGCACCCATGGCACCTGGCTTATTTTTACAATTTCTATTTTTTTTTTTTTTTGAGACAGAGTCCTGCTCTGTCATGCAGTGGCATGAACTCAGCTCACTGCAACCTCCACCCCCACTGGGTTCAAGCAATTCTTCTGTAAGCCTCCCAAGTAGCTGGGACTACAGGCATGTGCTACCATGCCCAACTAATTTTTGTGTTTTTAGTAGAAACAGGGTTTTACCATGTTGGCCAGGCTGGTCTTGAACTCTTGACCTCAAGTGATCCTCCCACCTCGGGCTCCCAAAGTGCTAATTTTTATAATTTTTCTTTGAGATGGGGGCCTCACTATGTTGCCCAGGCTGGTCTCGAAATCCTGATCTCAAGTAATCCTCCTGTGTTGGCCTCCCAGAGTGCCGGGATTACAGGCTTCAGCCACCACAACCTGCCACTTCTTGATTCTAGAACCCACAGGAACTGATGCCACTCTTTTTTTTTTTGAGATGGAGTTTTGCTCTTGTTGCCCAGGCTGGAGGGCAATGGCGTGATCTCGGCTCACTGCAACCTCCACTTCCCAGGTTCAAGAAATTCTCCTGCCTCAGTCTCCCGAGTAGCTGGGATTACAGGCATGTGCCATCACCATGCCAGGCTGATTTTGTATTTTTTTAAGTAGAAACGGGGTTTCTCCATGTTGGTCAGGCTGGTCTGGAACTCCCGACCTCAGGTGATCTGCCCGTCCCGGCCTCCCAAAGTGCTGAGATTACAGGTGTGAGCCACCACGCCTGGCCTGATGTCCAGGGCTAGAAAACTGCAGAGCCATGAGTCCTTCTGCCCCTTCTGGGAGCTCATTTAATAGGCAGGGCATTTCTTTCTTTCTTTTTTTTTTTTTTTGAGATGGAGTTTCGCTCTTGTTACCCAGGCTGGAGTGCAATGGCGCGATCTCAGCTCACCACAACCTCCGCCTCCTGGGTTCAGGCAATTCTCCTGCCTCAGCCTCCAGAGTAGCTGGGACTACAGGCACGCACGACCATGCCCAGCTAATTTTTTGTATTTTTAGTAGAGACGGGGTTTCACCATGTTGACCAGGATGTCTTGATCTCTTGACCTCGTGATTCACCTGCCTTGGCCTCCCAAAGTGCTGGGATTACAGGTGTGAGCCACTGCGCCCGGCCAGCAGGGCATTTCTGAGGGGCAGGGTTGGTTTGGCGGTCTCATTTTACAAGGGAGGCAGAGGAGGCCCAGCAGAAGGGCCCAGCTAAGGCCACATAGAATCAGGGGACAGCTGGGGGCTGTGGGCTGGATCTCACTTCCTCAACCTGGGTCGATTTCTGCTTTTGGTACAGGTAGATGATGCCGGAGATGAAGCCATCTTTGGCAGAGGTGCCGGGTACCACCTCCAGCTCGGAGGTAGCCAGCTCCCAGTGTTCCACAGGCAGGGCCACTAGGCGCTCCCACACCCCAGCCTGCTCCAAGCTGTCCAGGGTGGCCTCCAGAGCCTCCTTGTACTGAAGATTAGACGAGTTGGTCCTGGTGGTCAGACACACCAGCCCACCTGGGGGAGGAGGGCAGGTGAGATGGGGGAGGGGCAGGAGCCACAGTCCCGGGCCATCTCTGCTGGGGAGGGTTGTCCCTTCAAGACAAGAAATTCTTCCAGCTTCCTTCTCAGGGCAGTCTTTCTGTGTCTTTTACATCAGGAATTCATTTTTTCTTTTCTTTTTTGAGACCGAGTCTTGCTCTGTCACCCAGGCTGAAGTGCAATGGCACGCTCTCAGCTCACTGCAACCTCTGCCTCCCGGGTTCAAGCGATTTTCCTGCCTCAGCCTCCCGAGCAGCTGGGATTACTGGCATCTACCATTATGTGTGGCTATTTTGTATTTTTAGTAGAGATGGAGTTTTGCCATGTTGGCTAGGCTGGTCTCGAACTCCTGGCCTCAGGTGATCTGCCTGCCTCAGCCTCCCAAAGTGCTTGGATTACAGGCATGAGCCACCATGCCTGGCCCTTTTTTTTTCTTTCCTGACATAGGATCTCACCCTATTTCCCAGGCTGGAGTGCGGTGACATAATCATAGCTCACTGTAGCCTTCAACTCTTGGGCTCAAGCAATCCTCCCACCTCAGCCTCCTCAGTAGCTGGGACCATAGGTGCTCACCAGCATGCCTAGCTAATTAAAAAAATTTTTTTTTTGTAGAAATGGGGTCTTGCTATGTTGCCCAGGCTACTCTTGAACTCCTGGGCTCAAGTGATCCTTCTGCCTTGGCCTCCCAAAGTGCTGGGATTGGGATTATAGGTGTATGCTACCGTGCCTGGCAGGGAATTCTTAATCTCCTGGACTGAGAAGACACCCTCCTCTCCACTCACCTACGCCTCTGTCGGAGGACATGACTGTCTGAATGGACAGGAAGAAAGCCCCCACGTGTGCTTTGGATCTTGGGCTAGCCCCTTCACCTCTCTGGGCCTCAGTTTCCCAGCTGGCATGGAGAGGATGACTATCTTATATCACAGGAAGGCTGGTGTGTGTGTAAAGTGTCCTACAGTAAGTGCTGGCTAAATGGCCTTGTCACCTCAGGTCCAGGCACCTATAGTGTGCCCAGGGTGGCCTCAGGTGCACTGAGAAGGAGAGATGCGGAAGACCCAATGAGTGGTCTGAGAAGGCTTCCTGGAGGAGGGAGTAAGGAGAAGCAGGGCGCTGCTGGTAGAAGGGAGCACGGTGAGAGGAGAGCCTCCGGAGCAGGGGAGACTGTCCCCCATGGGCAGGCAATGGGGCTCGGTCAGCTGAAGGGCTTAGCAGGCATAGGCTGGGCTAGGAAGTCGGGCCCTGGCTGCTTCACGCAGTACAAAGTTCCTGTCTTCCTGGGCCCGACTTCGACCTTTGCAGCTGACCCCATCGTGTCCCTGCATTTGTCAGCCTTCAAGACTCCCCGGAGGCTAATGCCTGCCCAGACCTGCCCAGCCTTAGCCACAGCCTCTGCTGGGCCTGGCAGGGGGTGCAGAGAGAGGAGGGAGAGGAAGCATGTTTACCTCTCCGATTTCCTGTTCCGCAGCCAGCCAGCGCCTCCTGGTTCTCACTCTCAGCCCCTCTCCTTTCTGTCTTAGGCTGCCCCCCACGTGGATTCCTCACCTGGTCTCAGAAATGCCTCTCTTCTCTGAATTCTTGGAGTAGGGCTGCGCATAGTGGCTCACACCTGTAATGCCAGCACTTTGGGAGGCCAAGGCGGCCAGATCACCTGAGGTCAGGAGCTCAAGACCAGCCTGACCAACATGGTGAAAGCCTGTCTCTACTAAAAATACAAAAATTAGCCGGGCGTGGTCATGGGCTCCTGTAATTCCAGCTACTTGGGAGCCTGAGGCAGGAGAATTGCTTGAACCCGGGAGGTGAATGTTGCAGTGAGCTGAGATTTCGCCACTTCACTGCAGCCTCAGCGACACAGTGAGACTCTGTCTCAAATTAAATAAATAAATTCTCGGAGCAATGAACACTCACGACTTTTGTGGGTCCACCTCCAACCAGGCCCCGTCCTCTCTGGCTCCTTCCCGGGCCACAGTGGGTTTGAGATCAAGGCCCAGAGGGCAGGGTCTGAGCCTTCTGCCCAGAGCAGAGGGAAGCGCAGGGCTGAGCAAGAACACAGCATGAGGCGGAGATACACCTGCTTCCACAGCAGCACGCGTGCCCACAGCTCTCATCTCCCCATAGCAGCCCCATTTCCCAGATGAGGAAACTGAGACCAGGAAAGAGAACGAGATGCCCCAGAGGCATCCATGAATGAGTGAGGAAGCAGGGAGAGCAGGGAACAGAACCGAGACCTCACTGTGGGCCAGGACCAAAGCAAAGGTCTTAGAGACAGGAAGTCACCCGATTCTTACTGCAGTCCTGTTACAACACCTGGCTCCCAGGCCGGGAAATGAAGGCTGCAGGAGGTTGGAGTTGCTCCTGGTTGCCCTTGGATAAGAGCTGAGCTGGCCACCTGTCTGCCCCGCCTGTTTGCCTGGGTCTGCTGCTGGTGGCTGGATGTTAGGCTAGGCTGTGTGTGGCCCTGGGCAGGACGCTGCCCCTTGCTCTGGGGCCTGTGTCTATGCTGTGCAGAGGGGAAGGAGTATGGTGGCGGGGGGTGGAGGGTGGTTGGCTGGGCTGATCCTCACCTGGCTTGGTGACACGTAGGAGCTCAGGTATCGCACTGCAGGGCACCTGGCCATCACTGAGAGCACCAACTATCAGCACCGCGTCGAAGGTTCCTGTGTATGTGTGGGGGGTGGGGTGGGGACATGGTGTGATGCTCGGAAGGTGCTTTGTCTGTGGTGTGGCCTCAGAGCACCCTAGGGGAGGGACAGAGCTACTGCCCACATCTGCAGGACCCAGGTCCCCTGGAGGATAAGTATGGCCCAGTCCTGGGCTGCAATCAGATCGTGGGGTGCAGGGTTGAGTGAGGGGCGGGGTTTAGTGTGGGTGGGGAATGGAGGACAGGCAATGGAAAGGGCTCTGTGAGGGTGGGCCTCGAGGTGCTGGGGTGGGAGAGGAAGTACCTTCGGGGCTGGGCAGAGGCTCCTGGCCCAGGGTGCAGAGGCTGAGGTGCTGATAGAGGCCACGGGCCCGGGCCCGTTTCAGCATCTCTGGGCTCCCATCCACCCCGTGCAGCTGGAGGAAGCCCCGGGCCTGTAGCTGGAGTGGGGGTGGGAGGCTGAGTCATGGTTCACACCTGCCACTTCCTGGCTGGGTCCCTGCACCTTGGGATGGCAGTGGACTCTGCACTGAATGTGGCCCATGTGTTTGTTTTTTAAAAATTTTTGAGACAATGTCTCTCTCTCGCCCAAACTGGAGTGCAGTGGCGTGATCACAGCTCACTGCAGCCTTGAACTTCTGGGCTCAAGTGATCCTCCCACCTCAGTCTCCCATGTAGCTGGGACCTACAGGCCTGCGCCACCCTGCCTGGCTAATTTTTAAATTTGTTTGTAGGGATAGGGGTCTTGCTTTGTTGCCCAGGCTGGCCTCAAACTATCCTCCTGCCTCAGCCCCACAAAGTGCTGGGATCATAGGTGGGAGCCACCGTGGAACGGTGAGGCTGAGGCGTCGGCGGGGGGGGGGGGGGGGGGGGGCGGTTCTGGGGCCACAGGCAGGGGGAGATTTGAGGAAGTGTAGGGCTAAGGAGTAGGCAGGGGATCTGGAAGAGCCTCACCTCGGCAGCCACTAGGCCTGTGCCACAGGCCACGTCCAGGATCAGGGCACTGTGGGGTGGGCCTGGAAAGGCTTGTGTGAGGCAGTCCACTGCAAGGCGGGGGGCGCGGTACTGCAGGGTGGCCACGTCCTGGGGAAAGAGTGGTGCCCCAGGGTTTGGGGGAGCTCCCTTGTGGGGTGGTCTCGGAATCTGCCAGGCTAAGCTGTGTGTGTCGGGGGATCAAGACTGGCTGGGGCTACCGTGAGTGGATGCCCAGGCATGAGGTGGTTCCCCTTGCTAAGGGGCCAGCACTGGAGAGTTAGCCCCCAGCCCACTGTATGGTGGATCAGCCCTCCAGGGACCTTCCCTCCTGGTCAGGGCAGCTCTCTCTGCTGCGTCTACAGTGACTTCTCTCTCTTTTTTTTTTTTTCGGGGGGTGGGGGTGGGGGATGGAGTCTTGGTCTTTTGCCCAGGCTGGAGTCAGTGGTGCAACCTCCACCTCCCAGGTTCAAGTGATTCTCCTGCCTTAGCCTCCTGAGTAGCTGGGACTGCAGGTGTGCACCGCCTGAGTACCTGGGACTACAGGTGTGCACCGCCATGCCTGGCTAATTTTTGTGCTTTTAGTAGAGACGGGGTTTCACCATGCTGGCCAGGCTGGTCTCGAACTCCTGACCTCAGGTAATCCACCTGCCTCGGCCTCCCAAAGTGCTGGGATTACAGGTGTGAGCCACTGCACCCAGCCTCTTTTTTTTTTTCTTCTGAGACTCCCTCTGTCGCTGGTGCTCCACATCCTGGATTCAAGCCATTCTCCTGCATTGGCCTCCCAAGTAGCTGGGATTACCAGGCACCCGCCACCACACCTGGGTAATTTTGGTATTTTTAGTAGAGAAAGGGTTTCACGATGTTGGCCTCAAACTCCTGACCTCAGGTGATCTGCCCGCCTTGGCCTCCCAAAGTGCTTGGGATTACAGGTGTGAGCCTGCAAGTCCCGCCCCACAGTGACTTCTCAATAGCACCTCCTCCAGGCAGCCCCCAGGGAAGTGATGGCCCCTGATGGGGCTGTCAATCCTGAGCTGTGAGGCAGGTCCGGAAGGGGCAGCAGGACCGTAGGGTTCTTAACCAGGCCTCACTTCACTCTCACAGCCGCCCCTGGGTTCAAGGCTGATTCCTCACTCTACAGGTAGATAAATGGAGGCTGGTCTAGGGGAGGCAAGGACCCAGATGGGTTTACCTGGTCGTAATCCGGAGCCCAGCGGTCATAGAAGTGGAGCTTCTGGGCCACGTCGGGGATGCCATGAGCGGCCCCTACACGTGCCAGCACCTCGGGCAGGCTCCCAGCTTCCTCCTGGGCCATGCTCCTGCGGGGTCACGGCTGCCCTGTCTCGTGGTCCACCTCAATCGCCCAACCCCTCCTTTCCTCCTCTCACTGCAGAGGAGGCTGCCAGGCCACCAGCGCGACCCCTAATCCGACCCCTACCCCAGATGGGGACACTGAGCCCAGAGAGGGCGCGTTTGGACATTTACACTCTGGGGCTGCAGGGCTTGGGGAAGGGCAGGGTGGGAGAGAGGGGTGCCCGGCAGTTGGAGGAAGGCCCTGTTCTTTCCCGCCCCCTGACGGGGAGAGGGTCGGAAGTGGGCGACAAGCGGAGCGAAAGGGTTCGAACGAGGCCTGAGTCTGAACTCACCGCCAATCGAGAGCGCCTGGCTTGGGTGGGCAGCGGGACTCGGGGCGGGGCCTGTACGCCGAGCCTGGCCACTCCCTCACCGCCTGCCCGCAACGATTGGCTTTCCGCTAAGAGAAACTAGCCAATCAAAGGAAGGCTCTGGCAGTCCGCCCCCTACCGTCAGCCAATGAGCTCAAGGCTTGTGGCCTTCCTCCAGCCTGGGAAGAGCCGGGACTGCTGAGACATTTTCCTGCTGTGCTGGTTTAGGGGCTTCTCCGGGGTTTGGCCCCGGCCTCCCCCTCTACCGTCCCACTCCGACTGCCCTCCTGCCTCCCGAAGTCCTTTATGCTTCCTAAAAGCAGGAGGTTTGTAGACACTGGGGAGTCCCTGCGTTCTCACGGGCGGGAGAGGGGCCTAGAATTCACCCTCACTTTGTATTTGTATTTTTTTTTTAAATTTTATTTGTTTATTTATTTATTTTGAGACGGAGTTTCGCTCTTGTTACCCAGGCTAGAGTGCAATGGCGCGATCTCGACTCACCACAACCTCCACCTCCTGGGTTCAGGCAATTCTCCTGCCTCAGCCTCCCGAGTAGCTGGGATTACAGGCACGCGCCACCATGCCCAGCTAATTTTTTGTATTTTTAGTAGAGACGGGGTTTCACCATGTTGACCAGGATGGTCTCGATCTCTAGACCTCGTGATCCACTCGCCTCGGCCTCCCTAAGTGCTGGGATTACAGGCTTGAGCCACCGCGCCCGGCCAAATTTTATTTTAATAAGTTAAATAGCCACCTGTGGCTAGTGGCTACTGTATTGAACAGTAGCGGGAGGCGGAGGTTGCGGTGAACCGGGTTCGAGCCACTGCACTCCAGCCTCGAGACAGTGAGACTCCATCTAGAAAAAAGAAAAAATTCTCAGTCTACCTGGGACCTTCTGAATCAGAATTAGATTGCTGGGGATGGGACCCAGAGTTTCTGTGTTTCTACAAACTCTTCAGGGGATTTCTAGGCAGCTGAAGGTTCAGAAGCACTGGTCTAGAGGACTGTTGTAGGAATCAAGGGTTTGGGGAGGCAGAATTTGGCAGGCTGTCGCAACTGTCTGGGTGGGAGGTCATGGTTACGTGACTTGGGTAGAAGCCATTGACTGGGGAGAGGAGTGGATGAACTTTAGAGATGTTTAGGGGTGGAAGTGTCAGAGGTATTTGAACCAGAGTAACTCCATCTTGAATAGCGGCCGAGTGTAATAAGACTGAGACCTACTGGACTGCATTTCCAGATTTTTTTTTTTTATGGAATGTCGCTCTGTTGCCCAGGCTGTGCTGCAGTGGCGCAATCTCAGCTCACTGCGACCTCCACCTCCTGCCTTAGCCTCCTGAGTAGCTGGGATTACAGGGGAAAGGCTTCTCAGAAACTCAAAGAATGCGACCATTTGTATCTCACATTCCTGTGACTTGGAGCCCCTCCCCGCCTCCAGTTGTCCCCACCTTTCTGGATGAAACCAATGTCCTTTTTACATATATTGATTGATGTCTCACGTCTCCTAAAATGTATAAAACCAAGCTGTGCCCCAACCACCTTGGGCATATGTGGTCAGAACCTCCTGAGACTGTCACAGGTATGTGTCCTCAACCTTGGCAAAATAAACTTTCTGAATTAACTGAGATCTGTCTCAGATTTCCGGGTTTACAGGGTGAAGAGTAGAATGAACCCTGTAGCGTTGGAAGAGAGTGGGAGACATTAGACATAAATTGGTGGAAAGATGCAGAAATAGACACAAATGTGCGTGTGTATTTGTGAATTTCCCAGCTTTGTCTGCCAAAGCGACCTAAACACCTAACACTTCAGTAGCGATCACCCCACTGAGATTCCAGCTCTTGGTTCTAAAAATGCATTCTTGCCAGGCGTGGTGGCTCATGTGTGTCATTCTGGGACTTTGGGAGGTAGAGGCAGGCGGGTCACCTGAGGCCAGGAGTTCAAGACCAGCCTGGCCAACATGATGAAACTGTTTCTACTAAAAATATAAAAATTAGCTGGGCATGGTGGTGGGCATCTCTAATCCAGCTACTTGGGAGGCTGAGGCAGGAGAATTGCTTGAACCCGGGAGGTGGAGTTGCGGTGAGCCAAGATCACGTGATTGTACTCCAGCCCAGGTGACCAAGCAGGAATTTGTCTTTTTTTTTTTTTTTTTTTTTTTAAAGCATTCTGAGCTAAAAGGAACCAGAGCTCCTGAGAGAAACAGCTGATTAAATGACTGAAATCTTTGAGGCAGGAAAAGTATGAGATGTGCCTGAAATATCTCGAACTGCAAGTCTTTTCCAGTCCTCCTCCCTGTTCCAGGAACCTGTTCTAGCTTTGGGGCTGGAAGGCCTTTCTCTAACTCATCAAGTTTTCTTTTTCTTCCTCTAATTCTTCAATCCCCTCAAGTCTTCTTAAGTTTTTGAAACCTCACAGCCTTATCAATGTCTTTTGCTGAACATGACCCTCTCACTCAGGGCAGTGAATATCAAGCTCCCCCTCCCCCCAGGTGAGCTGCTGCCAAAGTGAAGGGGTGAGCTTGGGGGGGTTGGGGAAGAGAAAATAGTTTGGGGTGGGAGACGAATTTAAAGGATCCTTTGGCTGCGTGCAGTGGCTCACACCTGTAATCCCAGCACTTCGGGAGGCTGAGGCTGGAGGATCGCTTAAGCCCAGGAGTTTAAGACCAACCTGGGCAACATAGTAAGACCCCACCTCTACAAAAAAATTCAAAAATTAGCTGGGTGTGTTTGTATGTGCCTGTGGTTCCAGCTACTCAGGAGGCTGAGGTGGATCACTTGAACCCAGGAGGTTGAGGTTGCAGGGAGTTAGGATTGTGCCACTGCACTGTAGCCTGAGCAGCAGAGCAGACCCTGCCTAAAAAACACAAGCCCAACCCCAAGTGGTTTAAATATTAGTGGTTTCTTTCATTCCTTCCTTCCTTCCCTCCTCCCTCCCTCCCTCCCTCCCTTCATTCCTTCTTTCCTTCTTTCTTTCTTGAGATGGAGTTTTGCTAAGTGATTTTAATATTAAGGGTTTGGTTTCCTTCCTTCCTTCCTTCCTTCCTTCCTTCCTTCCTTCCTTCCTTCCTTCCTTCCTTCCTTCCTTCCTTCCTCCCTCCCTCCCTCCCTCCCTCCCTCCCTCCCTCCCTCTCTCTCTCTCTCTCTCTCCCCTTCTCTTTCTTTTCTTTTCTTTCCTTTTTTGAGACGGAGTTTTGCTCTTGTTGCCCAGGCTGGAGTGCAATAGTGTGCTCTCGGCTCACTGCAACCTCCACCTCTCAGGTTCAAGCCATTCTCCTACCTCAGCCTCCCAAGTAGCTGGGATTACAGGCGTTTGCCATCACATCCAGCTAATTTTGTACTTTTAGTAGAGACGGAGTTTCACCATGTTGGTCAGGCTGGTCTCGAACTCCCGACCTCAGTTGGTCTGCATGCCTCAGCTCCCAAAGTGCTGGGATGACAGGCGTGAGCCACTGCAGCTAGCCTATGGATGCGCTTTCTTCTTCTACTTTTTTTTTTTTAAGAAGGAGTTTCACTCTTCTTGCCCAGGCTGCAGTACAATGGTGTGATCTTGGCTCACCGCAGCCTCCACCTCCTGGGTTCAAGTGATTCTCCTGCCTCCTGAGTTGCTGGGATTGCGCCCGCCAACATGCCCGGCTAATTTTGTATTTTTGGTAGAGACGGGGTTTCTCCATGTTAACCAGGCTGGTCTGGAGCTCCTGAACTCAGGTGATCCGCCCACCTCAGCCTCCCAAAGTGCTGGGATGACAGGGGTGAGCCGACGCGCCTGAACTATGGACATGCTTTCTAACCTGAAATGTGCAATGGGAAGTTGTGACTTCAGATTTGCGTTTTACAAAGATGGCTCCAGAAGGCAGCGGGGAGAGCGGGCTGGGCGAACCCCAAGCTCTGAGACTGTTGCAATGACTTGGCAAGAGCTGGAGTGACAAGAGTCAGGGGCTGCTGAGGGGGGGTGACCTTGGTGCCGATGGCGTGTGGAGCTGTTGAGGACCAGATGGCAAAGTCCCGTCCTTGGAGTCTTCCTCCTGCCTCACCTTCTTCACCACCTCCTCCTCACTCTTCTCCCTACCTCTAAGCTTAGGAGCGGCCCCTGGCTCCGTCCTGGGTCTCCTTTCTTCTCTGCCTACGCCCACTTCCGAGGTGATCTCATCTAGTCCCATGGTTTTAAATACTATTTATTTGTGGGTGACTCCCAAATTGATGACTCCTAGTCTTGGCTCTTCCCTGAACTCTGGACATGTCCACCCAGCCATGAAACTAACATCTCCTTGGAGGCCACAGGTCTCTCACTGGCAGCGAGCCCAGACCCGAGAGCGATTCTTTCCACTCCCAAATCGCTCCTCCTCAGGGCCCATCTCTGCAAATGCCCGTGGACCACCTTGCACCCAGGGGCTCAGCTCAAGCTGTTTTTCTCCCCTCCCATGCTCTGGGAGCTCAAACCCTGTGAACTCAAACTATACCAGCCAGGCACAGCAGCTCATTCCTGGAATCCCAGCACTTTGGGAGGCCAAAGTGGATGGATCAGCTGAGATCAGGAGTTCGAGACCAGCCTGGCCAACATGGTGAAACCCCATCTCTACTAAAAATACAAAAATTAGCTGGGCATGGTGGCGGGCACCTGTATTCCCAGCTATGTGGGAGGCTGAGGGAGGAGAATTACTTGAACCTGGGAGGCAGAGGTTGTACTGAGCTGAGATTGTGCCACTGCACTCCAGCCTGGGTAACAGAGCGAGACCGTGTCTGAGAAAAAAAAAAAAAAGAAAAAGAAAAAAAGAGAAAATCTCAAACACACACAAAAGAAGTCTAGTGTAATAACTCCCCATGTATTTGGTAATGAGTGTTTCAATAGTTAACGAACTGTGCCCCACCGGAGTGGCATTTTCTCAGTACTCATCTGATAAGTGGACTCCTCTGCTTCAAACCCAAAGTCCAAGTTCTTTCCTCTGCTGATCTGTACCATCTCTTTTCCTCATCCCGCCACGGTGGCTTCTGCTGTTCCTGGAAAGTGCCAAGGCTGTCAGAGGGCCCTTGCACTGTTTTCCAGCCAGGAAAATCCTCCTACCTTAGTCTCCCGAGGAGCTGGGACTGCAGGTGTGCACCACCACACCCAGCTAATTTTCGATAGTTTTCATAGCAGTAAGGTTTTGCCACGTTGCCCACTCTCCCTTCAACTCTGCTTCAATGGTTTTTTTTTTTTTTGAG